ACAAATTAGTAGTGTGATCGATCGATCGTGTGATGAGTCATCGCCCGTTGCCCACTCTTGTGGCTGGCGGCTCCGTCGCTGGCGGCTCCGTCGCTGGCGGCTCCGTCGCTGGCGGCTCCGTCGCTGGCGGCTCCGTCGCTGGCGGCTCCGTCGCTGGTGTCCAGCGACGCAATCGCCGAGTCTGACCGAGGTCTAGGCGTCATAAGAAAGAGCGCGCGCTTGCATTCATTTGCACGGATCATCATGGTTACGAATTCGACCAGTACACTTGCACCCAAAAAACGGCCTCATTTCAAATTTTGGATAGCAGTTCTCGTGAACGGCGAAGTGGGCTTAAGTAATTCCATAGCATGGCTTCCTTCGTGTCTAAATCGATTCCTTAGTTTATCGCAGTTCCCTTAAAGATGCCCTCGTTTTTCTGTAGAATTGATGCGATATTCCAGAACAAGTAAATTCAAAACGAATTTGTCGAAATAAGGATGGCCAAGGAGCTGAACAAGTGATGAGCACTTTTAGTGCGACCACTTAAACGCAAATAGGCAGTCATTGGATTCTAAAAAGGGAAAATAGTATGCCTACTGTAGAGGACCGAGGCATGGCACAGAATAGACCTCGAGAGAACGGAGTGATCATTTTGTACTCCTACTGACTAGTATAGGGCGCCATTCGTTGCGGGACCCACTGCCTTAACCCGCGGGGATCCCATGTGATCGCGGTTGAATTCGAACATTCCAGCTTCTCACGCATGTCAAGTGTCTGCCCTCACCCCCCACCCCCCTAGACTGGCGACACTGCCCCTGGCTCACGGATTCCCCGCTCCACATTGAAGGGTTCACTGTAGCAGGAGGCAGTGGGACCCGTAACGAATGGCGTCCTTTACTAGTCAGAAGGAGTACAAAACGATGCGTTCCGGAGATATCCGCCCATTCGAGCGGAAGCCTCAAATGGCTCATGCAAACAGAAACGTATAGGTTGCTGATAATATTATCATCATCCTTCGCTTCTCGTTTTGAAGTGAACTTCTCTCTAAGCGATCTATCTTTTTATTTGTCAACGAAGTCTGTATCTACGAACGTTTGATGTTTGGCGTTAGGTTTTGGTTTGTTAGGACAGGAAGTGACTGCTCTGCTTTTCGCACGCGAACCTTTTCGCTGCGGGAACCCCGATCCATCGGTTCGTGGGGGCGAGCCTAGAGTTCCCGCATCAAAAACCTTTCGCGTTGCGAAGCGGACAAGTCGCCCTCCCTCCTAGCGGTTCCCATACCGGCTATCAGGATTAACAAGTCCAGCTAGCTTTGCTTTGTTCTCTAACTTTCCCAGAGTAAAAAACAGGTGAAATGGAGGCCTCATTTCGAGCGTTCCAGGCCGGCCTACTTGGCTTTTTTGCCACCACTGCGCAGCTCCGGGTCTATTCCAGTTAGGGGGGCATCATGGTGCGGTGACTCCCAAAAAGCTACGGTAACTCTGAGCCAGGGGGAGTGTAGCCAGTCTAGGGGGTGGGGGGTGAGGGCAGTCACTTGACATGCGTGAAAAGCTGGAATGTTCGAGTTTACACTAGTTCGCCGAGAAACTGCATCATGATGCCCCCCCTAACTGGAATAGACCCCAGCTCTCCTCTACACAATTCCATTTCCAACTGTGACCACTTCATAGTACCATAATTTGCCTTGGGCATCTCTATGAACAAGGCTTCCGTTAGATACCGCACCAGCTGAACTCCATCACACACGTCATCTGCTAGTTCATCTAGTGGCGGCGGATGAAAGTCAGATCTTTCAAAACATTGACGACGATGTGACGAGGTTTTGCGCTTATGGGACTCTTTTCATTATGTATCGGAACTTTCTCGCGTTCCAGTACAGTCCCTATACTTGATCGGATTCCTAAAACAATACATTCGCTGCTAATAATGAAAGTATTGGAAGAGGAGAAGTGGCAGCTGGAGCTGCACTCTATTGCGCACACAACACTGTCCTGCTCGACATGGAGCGATGCGGCACAAGTTCTCAAATGTGGGGCAAACCACCGCGAATATTTCTGTTGCCCCTCCTAGCTAGTTTCTATCCGTTTTCTTTTCAAGTTCTGGAACCTATGGCGATTTTGGATTTTAGCTATATCAATTTCGGTGCATAGTCCACCCACTAATGATAATTCCACCTCCTTCTTCGACCATTATCCGCTCTTTTCTAAAGGACGAATTATCCTTCGCTTCGTGCTTTCTCGCTCGGGGGTACGACCGTGCACTAGCGGTTCGAACAATCTGCCACCGTATTAAAGACGTATCAGCGATTCGACAATTTCTGAAAATGGCGGTTCCTCTAGCTCGCGCGTCGCCTCTCGCCACTTTCCAGGTCCTCACGCCCTCTCGCTCTGTCGTGTTCACGTGAGCCCGAGAAAGTGACGACAGTCAACGTGCGAACGGAAAGGACTCCCGCCACTTCCAAACGTTGGGCTGTGGTTCACTAGGGCAGAAGCGACTTTTTCGCGTTTCTTGTGCGGAACATTTTTCGCTGCAATCAGCGATGTACCTGGGGATCCCGCAGCGAAAAATGTTTTGTTCGCTTTCTGTCCTAGTGAACCACATCCTAAACACTGTCTAGTCACTGGTGCATTGTTCGATTCGCTCGCGCGTCCTTCGAGCCGTTGGTGCATCGCTTGTATCCCGCGATTCGCTAGCGAACCATTAATTGAATTCGCAAAGTTTGACACCGGCTTGTGGTCGTGTTCATACCTCACCATTTGTGTTAGGAAGCTCAACAAACCAATACGCATACAATTCTTTATGCAGTCTCCTAGTGTCTTGACCATTGAACTCTCCTCTATTTTTATTTATAGTTTGGCTGCACACGTATTCGCGTGCACCAGACGGGTCTGCATTTGCACAGGGGGGGGGCCAAAAAAAGTCACTTTGCCTATGGCGCATATCATCAAACTTTTCGTCGCAAAGGATGCCGCTGTTATTGGGAGTTATACGGCGAAATATTCCTTAGATGTCCCCCCATAAGCAGAATCAGGCCCACCTTCGCTGCCTTCACCGTCTCCAGAATATGACGTCATCTGTCATCACCGTCGAGCTCAAGGAGGCCTACCGTAATCGCTCCATTCTGAAGCTGCTACATAATTTCTTCAATCGGATAACTGGTGAATAGCTTCTTAGAGACACTAGCTGTGACTATGCAAAATGGCTTTTGACCAGCGTTTCAGAGACGTCGTAATCGTCTATGGTTTCTCGACGACCTCGTTGAGCTCGTACCGTGAACCATGTTTCCGTGGGAAAATCTTCTGATGTCGTCGGTGTAGAAGGCCCTATGTAATTTTTTGATAGAATAGAATGTGCTCTTCAATATGCAATTGAGCTCATTCGGTTTGGTTTTGGCAAAGTGTAATTAATTCTGTTTTGAATGTGAGTAGGAGTGACTCTTTTTTTTGCCCCCCCCCCCTGTATGAAACACGGCCATTGATATTTTTATAGTCCACCGTGAGAAACTCCGTAAATCCTCGGTGGCGCCCACCAACAGCATTTGGCCCCATTCCTTCGCCAACCTTTATCCACTTTCCCAGCCTCTGGGCTCTTTGAAAATACCTGTAATATCACGTGACAAACTCCGCCTACTTCAACGCACGCTCCACCCACCAATAGCAGTTGATCTCCTTCCGTTGACGGACTCAATCCACTTTTTTCCCGGTCTCCAGGACTTCTTGGAGCCGAGTTATGAATTTTCGTGGCAACTCCGCCCACTTTGGTCATGCCCCGCCCACCAATAGTTGGCTCCACTCCTCACCCACCTCTATCCACCTTTTCCCGGTCTCCGGGACTTCTTGGAACCGAGTTATGAATTTTCGTCGCAAACTCCGCCCACTTTGATGCACATCCCACCCACCAATGGCAGTTGACCTCCCTTCCGTTGACAAACTCAATCACTTTTTTCCGGTCTCCAGGACTTCTTGGAGCCGAGTTATGAATTTGTGGATAACTCCGCCCACTTTGGTCATGCCCCGCCCACCAATGCAGTTGGGCTCCACTCCTCCACCCACCTCTATCCACCTTTTTCCCGGCCTCCGGGACTTCTTGGAGCCGAGTTATGAATTTTCGTCGCAAACTCCGCCCACTTTGGTCAAGCCCCGCCCACCATTGACAGTTGGCCTCCACTCCTCTCCCAACTATCCACCTTTTTCCGGCTCTCTAAGACTTCTTGGACCGAATTATGAGGGCTTGTAGAAAATGCTGTCTACTTCAGGACACGCTCCGCCCATTGTGGGCGGGCCTCCGCCACGTCATGTATGCTGGAAACACCTTAGACATTGCTCCCCTACACCAATTTGTTTTCTGCTCTGTAGGCTTTCTCCCAACCGAGTTATGAAATTTTTCATAAAGCACTGCTTTTTTGGAGAACGCCCCGCCCACCGGGGGTGGGTCTCCCTAATTCGATCTGACTTACCAATGCACACCTTACCCACTTTTTCCCCCAGTTTCGAGGCTGTTTTGTACTGAATTTGAAATCGGTCTCAGTACCACTCATTTCGACGCACGCCACGCCCACTGTGGGCGGGGCTCCGCTTAGCTGATGTATGTTTTGTACTTCTCGAGACCTGGCCACCCATCCCACACTTGACCCGGTCTCTCCAGGCGGATCCCAAGGAGCTAGGGAATTTCGTGACAGACAGACACCGTGACACACACACACACAGACAGACATAGCGCATTATATATAGTGTGGATCGCCTGATCAATCACCGATGTTGTGGGATGTGAACGCGGCCTTAGGCAAAGTTGTTAGCTAGACGCGCTCCGATACTAGGGCTTATTTTCTCGGAAAGACGCAAAATTACATTGTCGCCAAAAAGTTAATCGTGTATGGTGACCATCACCAGTGCAGGGCACAGGGAATCTTCCGGATTTAGTTCTTAGTTTCAGGGAATTGTCGAATCATGGATAACTTATTCAACTTGTTACTTGACTGCATTTCTAGAGAAACGTTCTTTTAAGAAAACGATTGATAAATGGACGCCTTCAAAAACTTTCTCAAGAAGAAGAAGGTTGACAAGCATTTCAAGCGCACTGGTTCTGGAAAACGACTGGACGCTGGCTCGAGCAATGTACCAAGTATAGTTTCCGGAGCAGCACAGGTATTTATGCTTCGCAGTATTGTTTGGAATGGGGAAAATATGATGACAAATAAATGTGCCCAGTTTGAACCAAAAATGTCAAAACGCGATGTCAACTTACACCATTTAGTAATCCTCCGCAAATGATTTTCAAAAAATTGAATACAGCATGGTTGCTGATGAACTTGATGACTCTCCAAACGGCCCCTACACATATTGTCCCCAGCACACTTCAATCCTACAGAATTTCATGTGAAGAGCATTGTATGGTCCGTTTAAGCTGTGTGGGTTTGTAGAGCTTATCAGCTTCCACGTCGATCACGCAGAACAGTTCGTCGCCCTAAATTTGTGGGGTTTTTGTAGGTCAATTTCTTCTCTCTATTAACTTGTTACAGTGAAGTCGGCACCATGCCGGTGTCAGACTTAGCGAATCCACACGAAGCGAATGGTGCAACTCTCGAATCGAGCGATTCGCTAGCGAATCGCTGGATCCGAGCGTTGCGCCAGCGAATCGAACGTTGCACCAGCGAATCGAACTTTGCGCCAGCGAGTCGAACGATGTACCAGCGAGTCGAACTAGGTACCAGCGACTCAATAGTGGCGGGACCCAACGTTCAAAGGAAGTTCTGCCACTTTCAAAAACTCGACACTCAAAGTAGTAGGACTTTCTTTGAACGTTGGGTCCGCCACTTTTGAGTCGCTGGTACATCGTTCGACTCGCTGGCACATAGTTCGATTCGCTGGTGCAACGTTCGATTCGCTGGCGCAACGCTCGGATCCAGCGATTCGCTAGCGAATCGCTCGATTCGCAAACTATGACATCGGCATTGTGCCGACTTCACTTGTCGTAAGTTCATAGAGACAGAGGAATTGGATTGGATTTGATCGATATATGGAACGATTGATTTAATAATTAAAATGGAGCAGTGTAACCACAGGATTTTGTGTAAAGACCATGACGAATATGATAATTATCTATCGAGGCCCTGCTCATCATTGCGTAACTTGCTTTTCGGAGCTGAACCTTATAACCATATTGATACCCTATTCTGTACATAGGAGTTATGGTTAAGTGAAGAACTGTTATTGTTATTTTTGCATGGTCTAATTGATAGTTCTTGTTTCAGGGTGGTGGGATCGACCGCGTTGCTGCCGCCGATGTTGCTGCACAAGCAGCGCTAAAGCGTCTTTACAAAGCGGAACCACAAATTAGCAGCAGTCAGAAAAAAATTCAAATGATTGTATGTTTTCAATAATTCTTTTCCTTCTTTGCTTCTTACCGTGAGTTACAAGGCTAAATTTAGTTCGAGCATACTGGGAGCAGTTATAGCACTTTTCCTCTGCCTCGGACTATCTTAGAAATTGTACGTTGACAAAAAAAAATTGAGGGAGTATGCGGATGGATTTGATAGAAAATGCCAAGAAATACATAAGAAGAAATATAAACGACAATATCGCGTGGTGGATTGGTATCTATTACCTATCTGTGGTATGACAGTCGGCTCGGCCAAGCTGTGCTCGTTTCTACTAGAATCTCCATCCTTTGCATGTCTTGCCTCACATCGCAAATTTCGAGCTACACTGCGACGCATAATTATAGTTCCACCTACAAATTTCCCAAAAACTTGTATATGAAGATGTTTTCGAAAAAAGGTTCCAGTGAGGAATTGTGAGGCATATAAACGCTGTTCTGAATATCAATACAGAATTCCAGTTCGAGGAAGCAACAATTTTTTATTTTCATTTTTCTGAAAATACTCGCTCTGCCTATGGCGCAAAATTATAGTTCCACCACATGTTTCTCCGCTGCACTTTATTTTTACCCAATCAAATTTTGAAATTATTATCCCTTAGGTCACATAGGTCATTGCAAAAGCGAAACCGCTGCCAGAATTCGTTAAAGGAAAATCCTAGCAAAAGAGGCAATTGCCGAAGTGTCAGTTCACGCTGAAAATTGGTCAGGGGTCACCTCATAACGAACAATTTCGTCGAGGATCCTACAGTATATGATATTGTAAGGAACCCTGATTACTATCTGACCGAGATAAGCGCCGTATCATAAGAAAATAATACAACTTTATCCAGCCGGGTACGGAAATCAAAACTTCTTCAAAAGTTAATGTCTCAATGGACGCAGTTCAACGTGTTTCCCAAAGCCCTCATGATAGTCCATGTCTGGAAAATAAGAAATATGATTCTTATGAAAAGAAATCATAGAGAAAAACGAGCCATTTTTCTTGGAAAATTTCGCCAAGTCGAGTGAAGTGGTGACACTCTTTCATTTGTGATTTTTGATTTGCGTCTTTCTTTCTCTTAACGTTTTTCTTTCTCAGATCGGTTTTCTACTTTGTAGCAACATGTATGGAGAAGAAAATATCAGGAGTATGGTCAAAGACTTCAAAATATCACACTTAAAAAAGTGTCACCACTTCACTCGACTTGGCGGAATTTTCCAAGAAAATGGCTCGTTTTTCTCTAGGATTTCTTTTCACAAGAATAAGATTTCTTATTTTCCAGACATGGACTATCATAAGGGCTTTGGAAAACACGTGAACTGCGTTCATTGAGACATTAACTTTTGAAGAAGTTTTGATTTCCGTACTCAGCTTGATAAGTTGTATTTTCTCATGATACGGCGCTTATCTCGGTCAGATAGTAATCAGGTTCCTTACAATATCATATACTGTAGGATTCTCGACGAAATTGTCCGTTATGAGGTGACCCTGACCAATTTTCAGCGTGAACTGACACTTCGGCAATTAATGCGTCTCTTTTGCTAGGGTTTTCCTTTTACGGAAGTTCGGCAGCGGTTTCGCCTTTGCTATGCTAAGGGACTTGAGTGGGTAATAATTTCAAAATTTGATTGGGTAAAAGCAAAATGCAGCGGAGAAACATGTGGTGGAACTATGATTTTGCGTCATAGGCAGAGCGAGTATTTTCGAAAAATGAAAATAAAAAATTGTTGCTTCCTCAACTGGAATTCTGTGTTGATATTCAGAACAGCGTTTATATGCCTCACATTACCTCACCGGAACCTTTTTCGAAAACATCTTCATATGCAAGTTTTTGGGAAATTCGTAGGTGGAACTATAATTATGCGTCGCAGTGTATATCTATTTCCGAGGTTACCTGCACTCTTTAAACGTCTAAAATTTCCGATATTTTTTTCAATATTCTTGTTTGCGCTATTTATCCTACCCTGGAGTGGTTTACTAACTCTGAGGACTGCAGTTGAAATACAACGCACAAGCCTGAGGTGGCCATCATCGGGCCGGTGCACCAAGCCCAATCGCCTCACCCAACTAAGGGATGAATCCCTCACCCAACGAAGGTATGTATCCCCAAGGTTGCGGATATATCCCCGTCACAGGACCCATGCGAAACGCGACCATGCGTTACAGGACCCATCACTTTTCGATGGGTCCTATGACGCGACCAATTTTAGCAAACGGTCACTGCCGTCGAGTCTTTGACTTGGGGACACATCCCCTTCACTCGCGTGTGGGGATATGTCCCCAGTCTTGGTGATACATCTCCTCACGCGTTGGGGATATATCCCCAATCTTGGGGATAGACCTTGGGGGCCTTGGGATATATCCTCAACCCTTGGGGATAATATCCCTTCGTTGGTAAGGGATTCATGCCCCGCTATGTTAAGTAGGGATGGTTCTCCAATCTTCTTGGGTTTGCTGGGCACCCGGCCCCATATCATCACTCCTGTGACTGGACTCTTTGTGCAAACAAGTGTATGGGGAAATTGTTTTTTGGGGTCTCTTCATGGAAATTTGGTTCTTCAAATTCCCTTACATGGCACCTTTTGATTGGGGACTTTCAAAAAATGTAAATCTAGTCAATATTACTGACAGTGGTATATATTATTGATCAACAAGTACTGGGTGCCCCCTCTATTATTTCCTTGTGAGCCTTGCTGTAGAACTTCGTTATTCTCGATTTCTCTAAGAATCGTTCATTGCAGGCACAACGTGAGCTTGAAGAAGAAAGACGTCGACAACAGCAAGAACAAGAACAACAACAACCCGATTTATCCAATCTCCCAACTGGAAGAGAAAAGGTAAGGCATCATGCATGGAAAATGCAGTCATTTTTTGTGTTCATAAGAGAACATTTTTTTGTGAGCTACTGAGTTCACAGTTGTGAGCATTTTCCCACATGGGGATGCCTATTTAATCAGTTTTCACTATTTCCAAATGGCTAGTGCTGTTGTCCTTCAGGCCCCCTCTGACATCAGGCGGAAAGCTTATAAAGCTAGGTGTACTCGTGCCGTTTCTGTGGCCGATCACAACGGCTTTTCTCATTGCACCAATTTTTGAAAAGTCCCAGGCTAATGCATGCATTCGTCACGAAATTAGTTTTTTTTTTCGCCGCACATGACAAAATGGTGGTTAGTTACAGCGCTCAGCTAACAGTCAGTACCATTTCTCCATATACCTGTCCCTGATGTAAATATGAAAGGAAAAAAAGGGTGTGTTTTTGCTTGATTTATGTAGATATCTGTTGTCTTCAGGAGCGGTCCAGACATTCGAGAGTTTGAGCATGCAGACGTGATCAAAGGGGTGTACTTCACTTGTGAGTTACTGGGCGGCGACGAAGCAATGACGAAACCCGTGGTATGTCTTATATCGATAGAGAAACCTAGGTATGTAGTTTTTTTGTAAGCAAGAATAAACTTGATTTCAGTTAATGCAGGCCATAGAAGATTTTCTTATGTCCCAGTTGCTCTGTGAGGGGGAAGACGCGGTTGTTCCCGCTGTTCTTCTTCTTTATTCTCTGAATAAAAAGCCAGCACGAGAGGTAATTTTCTTGCCTGAACTGCTTATCAGCTTCAGAGATTCAGCTTGCTCCATATAACAACATCTAGGTTGCGGTGGAGACCATTGGAAAATATTTGCAAAATATCATCGAAAATCCTGGAGAGGCGAAATACAGAAGGATAAGAATGTCCAATAAAGTCTTTCAGGTATGCATTTTCTTGAAAGTCGCCACCACTAAAAGCTTTTTGGTTGTTTTTCGTAGGAGAGACAATTCTTTATAACAATCTTTTTTTTGTCAAGAAAGACGGATAGACGTGTTTCGCCTGTTTTCTACGGTTTGATTTATTGAGTAGTGACCGGCAGTTGGATGTTGTTTTTTGCACTTTCGCTCATTCGTTTTTTTTATCTTGGCATTTTTAATTCGTTGAATATGTTTTACAATTTTTTGTTCATACATATGGGTATTCAATTCAAAATGCTCTCCCAATCAGATCATTGGTGCAATCGCTTCTATGGATAGAGTATTAGGCTAGGCTTGTGCCGTTCGGAAGCTTTGAAATTACGCTGCACGGGTGGTAGGGCGTATGCCTAAGTGCTTTCGTGTTTCTCAATCGCAACACGCGGGATGTCTGCGCCCTCTCGCGCGGCGGACTCTTGCGTGTTTCCTCTGCGAGTGTGGGTATAGGTGCAGCCAAAAGACCGGAAAAAATGGGTCAAGGTGTGCACTGAGTGAAAAGTCGAATCTGGGTTACCCGCCCTTTGTGGGTGGAGCGTTCTCTGCAGGAGTGTTTCTCAGTAAGAAAAACTCATAACTCTGGTATGAGAAAGCCTATTGAGCTGTAGTAAAATCGGTTTAAGAGAACAATATCTAGGGTGTCCTAAACATACCTGAAACTTGGTGGAAGCCTGCCCACAGAAGGTGGAGCGTGTCCAAAGTGGCAGAGGTTAGAAAAGGAAGGAAGTTCAAGGGTTAACGGGGAGGGGGGTGTGAAATTACCAAAGTGGGCGGAGTTTGCCACAAAACCTCATAATTAGCTTCCTAGAGGCCTTTCCGAGCCTACTTGATAAAAGCCGATATTTATGATCAATATTGATTGATACCGCGTGACTCAATGGAATTTTGATTGTTGCGACCCCATCAATCTATAGTGTGATTAAGTCTGAGCCTCCCAGACAAAAATCGATATTTTCAGTCGATATCGATCGATAGCATGTGAACCGATAAAATTTCCATTATCAGTACAGGCCCCAATCAATAGTGTGATTTCCCAACCTTATTCGAGCACTCTGCGCAAAAACCGATATTTTCAATCGATATCGATCGATAACCTGTGACCCATCTAAAATCTCCTACGACACTACGCAATCAATATTGTGATTCGCTTAGCAATTCGAGGCCTCTGCACAAAAAACTACTTTCTACGCGTAAGTCCCGCCCACCTGACCGGCTCCGCCCACTACCGTACCCTTTCTAACCAAGCCTTGCCTTCATCCTACACGCTCTAGGGGCAACTTCCTACCCATCCGGGACCACCCTGAACTGTTTTCTTGGATATACGTAGCATGCGAGCCTAGTGGTTACAAACAGACAGACAGACACACAAACACACCAAACTTCTGCTTATATATAGAGAGGATACCCTATCTGTTCTCTTGAAGATACGTAGCATTCGAGCCTAGTGGTTACGAACAGACAGACAGACACACAAACACATCAAACTTCTGCTTATATAGAGGATCGGTAATAAAAAGGAAAACGCAGCATCGTGAACCCCTTTTGGCGTGCATCTTGCATTCTACTTTTACCAGAATCGTAGCGTAGTAAAATAGAATTGAATTTGTTTGGCTTGTGCAATGGCTTGCGATGTATCAAGTCAGCTTTTCCAGTCTCGCAGACAAGTTTGGTACTGAAAACCGGCTCCGGAGGGATGGAAGCTCCGGCTGCCTGGGCCGCGGACGATCCACGGTTTGGTCAACGGGCTGATCCCATGTTAAGTAGCGCCTCTTGCCACTACACCATCTCCGCTTCTAAATTTGGAAATAAAAAATTTACTCTTTTTTCAATTTTGGTGTTGATGTGCGAAATTGCATTAGCACACGTATGTAGCGCATTTCCTAATTAGAGATTTCTCTCGAAAACATTTTGTAAAGCAAGACTGGAAAAGTAGGTGTATGCATCACTCGGAAGATCAGAGTAGAGTGAAGCCATCTTATAGCTAGTATACGGCAGCGAAATATCATTTCGTTGTGAGATTAGCTTTCAGTAAAGAAAGTTTTATGATTCTAGATACACAGGTTTAGGAACGAGTGGCTTGCGTCAAAGGTGGCGTGCAGTTTCTCAATGCTGTTGGTTTCAAAGAAACAATGGAACCTCTAAAAGATGGCGATGCTCCCGAAAGGTTCCTTGTTATTCCTGAAAACGCCGCCAGTGATA